GATAAACATAATAAGTGCAGGCAAATATGAATACAAAGGAGTAAAAACTATCGGATACCATATGAACGGGAATGTGTTACCTATCGAAAAGTTCCTCAAAGTACATATCTAATTGCTTTTTTTTTTTATCCAAATCCTGAATTTTTGACTGCAATTCACTAACTCTATCCATATTTTTGGAATTTCGAGGCGCCCTGGTTCTTTTTTCGACACTCAACTGACGAGATGCAATGGTCCACGAATCATGAACCTCTTGGGCAAGTTCACAAAGACAACTAAAAAGATGAAGAGCAATGATGGTTGCAGTATGTCGGAAAGGACGAAAAGAAGAGCTAATGATATTGTGCAATCATAATAAAAATTAGATGCCAAAAAGGAGTTAATTTGAAAGCATTGAATTGTAAGTCCATAATGTTTAGTCCACCTTGACATAGGAACTACCCATATTTGAATAGTTTCAAAGAATACACCATCATACAATACATCATGTTTTACATGGCCTATAAGTTGTCTAAAAAACGTTAAAAAATTCTTTCTAAATTTTCTAAATTCCCTGGACTTTGAAATTAATGGATAATCAGCCACAGGCTCCTATTTTTAAATCCGTTTAATAATTAAATATTAAAAAAAAAGAATTCAAAAAAATTAATCAGAAAGCAGCTCACTTTTTTTAACGCATCTTGTAATTCTTCCAGAACTTGTGGTATGGCATCATCATCTTCAAAGCCCTCTCTCGCTATAATCTCAGAACACCCGCATGACTGGCATATAATAATTTTGGCATCCAAATTTCGTTTTTCAGATTAATAGATGCTCATATTCCAGGTTGAGCAGAATAATCAAAGCTAGATGTATGCACAATTACAAACCCGAATGATGAAGTTAATCAACGACAACAATGAATTGGTATGATTGTCAGTTTCTTCTTTATATGCTCTCACCCATTCTGAGGCGACGTTGTCCAAAGCGTTGCTTTGATCAAAAATCGCTTCTGAAAAGTTAAACAAATATGAGAATTTTAAGTTATTTTTAATCATTCAACGTGTTATTCACTTGCGTACCATAGAGGGAGAGTCCACTCTCTTCGAAAGGTTCGCGAGAAAATCCAGTTGTACTCATTATGATATGATCGCGTAACTAAAAAATAAAAGGCTACGTATTTATTGTTGTGTCCTTGTAACATTTTGTCTCTTTGATCGACCAATCAAATCACGAGGTAAGGTGTAACGTGAATATCAAACATTCGTTTTTATAATAAAAAAAACCGAGTGCAAGCTTAATATTACGTTCGGGTTTTGATTAGAATCTGGGCTAGGATTTATGGACAATTCTTAAGGTAATTTCATAGAAAAATTGAAAAAAACACGGTTGTTTTGATTTTTATACACGATCTCGAGATTTGATTGGTTAATCAATAAAACGCGACAAATCAAAAGAATTGTTGGTTTATATTATTTAATGTCACGGCTGATTATGAAATCGGATTATTGTGAAATTTGGATCTATTTCATGTACGATTTTTAAATTTT